GGTGAAAAAAAAAAGGGGGGGGGGGGGGGGAAATTGACTTTCCCCTGCTTTGTTGCTTTCAAAATTACTTTGGTGAGGGTGAAGTGAGTTTTATTTTCTGTATTTTGCACCTGCTTTACTTTGCTGTGAAGTGACTGTTGCTCGTGCAAAACGGCAGAATGAGGTGTTGGCTATCCCTGGGGCAGAAGGACTTCATCAAATGTTGAAGCAGAACCAGAGTAGAAGCCGGTCTCCCAGGGAAAAGGAGCCACTACCTCAGGTTCTCTCTAGCAGTTGTGCCTCAAACCACCTTTCCACTAGGCTGGTATATTTGTTGGATTTCACAGGAGAGCTCTGCCTTTTGTTTTGCAGGGATCCCTGGGCATTAAACTGCCATAGTCATGTAATGAGATACCGGTGCTGTAAAATGTGAGCCAGTACTGTGTATGGCTCAGTAGGTGGCTGTCTTGGACCAGTTAGTCCTTCTACAGAAACCTCATTTACTTAGATCATGCTTTTAAATACCTATATAACAGTATATATGTACATATATGAATACGTTACGAGAAACAACACCTAAGGGTACAATCCAATAAAATACGTACCTCCAGCAGGGTGTGGACAGAACCGAGGTGTCTGCGTCCAAATTGTGATCAGTACAACGCTGCCCTCAGCTGCCATCCAAACTCGGGCTCTCTGCTGTTCCAAGTTCTCTGGCTGCCAACAGCTGTGGACGTGCGCAGAAGCAGAACTGGCCTGGCCCAAGCAGCACATCCTCGCTCTTGGTTCAATCAGAATTCTTCTGAAGAGCGGGTTTGGTCACTGCTCATCACCTCTGGTAGGACTAAGCTCCCGACAAAGTACTGTGCTTGTCTCCTAAGGCAGGAGGACACAACTTTGGTGTCACAGCTTAATGGTGGGACCACTTGTCAAGCAGAAGAGAAGCCTTCATGTCATTCTTTCCAGGTCCTGAGAAGGCTGAAAGCCACCTCTCTGGTTCTGCAGAGCGTGCTCTGATTACCAGCATTAGGCAAGAGAAATACAAAAACGTTTGCAGCTTGGTTTTTAGTTTGTACGTCGCTAGGGAGGTTTTCATGGGAATGTAAATCACCTCATGTTTGCCACACATCGTTTCCTGTGGACTAGCTGATAAGGTACAGAGCCAACTCTGCTTTACTTCACAGCAAGTTTTGTTTGCTCGTACCTTAAAGCGGATTTCAAAGCAAATCACTGAAGGAAGCGCACAGAATCACAGGGAAGGAAGATACCTTACCTGATAGATCATCCTGGTATATACAAATAAGGTGTGGCAGGAATAGAAATTCCTGACAGGAGTCACTGTGCCAGCCTTCAGTTTTCTGTGGAACTCCTCTGTTCTGCAGACTCCCTTGAAAGTTTCCCCTGGCCCAGAGCCATCGGGACACTGCCATGACCAAGGGTTATTCCACTGAGGCTCTTCCTGTCACATCTTGGGATCAAATTCCCACAGTGGCTGATCCTACTTCCTCAACTGCACCACTGGGACAATCTGATGCAGTTTCAATATTCAGATTCAGTAATGTTATGTCAACTCCTCTAGAAGCAGTGAAGCATCACCTTTAGGGAGAACCCAGCTGTAAGCTAAATTGTTAATTGCTGTAGGCACCTTTACACAGTCAGTCTTGCTGTGACTACATTCTCTTTTCCATTGCATCCAAACCCAGTCCACGCAAGCCCACTAGTAAAATTAGTTTGCTGAGCCTGACTTTTCCCTTGTAGTGTGGGACAAAATTAAGGGGTCATTGAAAACTCATTTCAGGCCTTTGCCTCATGCCCTGTGTAATTTCATGATTGCCTTAGCCTTCTCCACCATTTCTTAATTGCACAGTCAGTTCCGGCAAAGATCTAAGCAATTGGCCCTCAAATCTGATAATGGTAAACTGACACTATGAAAATTAAGTATTGCTAGAGGCTATGCTTATTAAAAAAAGGACAGCACATACTGCTTGGTGCTTGAACAGTATTTCCAAAACCACTCAAAAGCACTACATGCTAGTGTTTTCCATCTGCCTTGGACAGGAATATTCTTTCAGTTATCTGGTTGCAGTTGATGCCTTGTTAGCCACGGCGATCAAGTATGCTCATACAGAATGAGCTACGTTTGGACTCATATCAAAGCTAAGCTTTTTCACATAGCAGAGCTTCTAGAGCAAGGCATGCATTAACATCTTCCAATAAATTACTACAAAGAACATGCACTCACATAAACTGGGGCAGCCAGAGACATTTTATAGTGTTCTCAGACATTAAAGGTAAATCATCAGGGCTACACAATTAGTTTCAATACATAAGATATCTCTCAAAACAATATCCTTTCACTGGATCACAAAGCTCTTCTGCAAACAGGAAATCGTTCTGAGATGCACAGAGGGCAGCTGCAAAAACTGGCAAAAAACCCCATCAGCCAAACCCAAAGTGTTCAGCATCCAGGGAAAAAAAATATTTATGCCAGTTAAACATGACAGGGCTTCCACAAGTCAGCTCTCTCTCTCTCTCGCTCTCAACAGATAAGGCAGTAGGGACCACTAGAAAGGAGGCACAACTGCTGAATCCATAATGCATCATGAGACAGCCTTGTCTTTCCCAACGTCTTTGGGATCCCCAGAGAGAGAGAGGCAGAAACAGGCACAAGAGGGTTGGCAGAGGGGAGCAGAGAGTAGGCAAGAAAGCATGGAACAAAGACACAGTGCTCTCCTCACTGACATCCAGATGCAAAGTACAATTAAGCTCCCTGGAGTTTCAAGCATCCCACCCTGTGATGGGTTTATCTCACTAGATTAGAAGAGAGTATGTTCACTGCATGCCAGTTTGGGGCTGACACTTAAAGCACCTTCTGCTATCCATCACAAGAAGAAGCAGGCTTATAAACCAGACATTTATTGATTTATTGCATTCCTGAAACATGACTCTTCATTTTGGGAATACTCAGAACTAACCCTTGTACACTGAGTGTATATGGCAACATCAGCACACGTTAACTTAATATTCTGCAAGAGCTTAAATGCACAACAACACTAATCTAATCTTGTTTAATATGTGATTTCTCAATTGCATGCTTCAGGGACAAACTAACTTGTCTACAGCACATTAGCAATAAAAATAAAATTTCTCTGTATTTTTGCTTAATGGGATAAAGGCCCATAAGGATGTGAAATCTCTCCCCCTATGTACCTGCAAGGATGCTGGGCTGCACACTGGAATAGCTTTGAACTGAGCAATGGGCTTCTTACCTATGAATATGGAAAGAAACCTTTTACTGGTGCAGCCACTGAAATGTCAAAATGGGATGAATTACTAAGCACACCTTTCCAAGAAGCCATTGCCAGCTGAGAGTTAATAATCATAAAGTGACATTAATTAATAAATACTCCAGTCGGCTGTGGGAAATCAAATCACACATCTGTATTCTTAGTTCTGGCCTCCACATCAAGACAGATGGTGTCATCAGAAGGATCAGGTGGAGTCCAAATACCTTCAGATCATACTAGTAGGACAAAGGGGCCAAATGGAGACTTTCTTT